GACCAATAAAATAATGATTCCGGTGTTCGATAAAACTTCTTCTCAAAATATAAACGGTCCTGGAATGCGAAGATTTGCCTCAATTCGCGATAGCCATTTCAGACTTTTTAGCCGTCGTCTGCCAGCCATACCCAGACTGGCTTCAACAGGTTACTCATAGGTTTAACAAAGTCGTTCAGACGGAGACAATGATGGAAATTATGCAATCGGACAGCAGGTAAAATTGATTGACGCACCAAGCCATTCTTCCAATAGCCACTCAGCAGTAGGGGGTCGAGGCTCCTCTGATATCTATGGCAACCAAGGAACGGATCACTGCCATGGTGGCTCAACAAGGTTATACGAAGCAGCCCAATAAAATTCTTCCTTGTCGCGTTTCAAATGAATGCAAGTTTTTAAAACTCAAAGGGTGCTCTTATAATCTCGAATGTTGACACGAATTGTCGATCAACGACTGGAGGGCCGGAAAATAAAACGCCAGCCTGGCAAATAGTTTCATCAAAATAGGCGGGCTGTTTGAGGGCAGAACCTCCAAACGTCATTAAATTGAAAGTGGTAATCATCGCAATTAGTCCTCTACTGATGTTATCGACACACAATAGCAAGTGCGTGCGATATTTCCTTGGGCTTCCATGCCCAAGCGCTGACAGTTTTATCCTGCAAATCGACTTTACTGGGCTTTGTTAAACTCGAAGAAGGCAGCACCCTGACCTTTCTCGCGTTCACACCGCTTGCTGATGACGTACAGCTTTCCATTTTTAAACATGCTATCAAGTGAAATTGTGTATTTTTACTCCATCTTTTGGAGGGTTTGAACTTAAAAGAAGCATCAAATTACCTTTTGGCAGTGTTTTAGGTTAAATAGTAGTCAAATTACAAATGAAGGTGAAACATTTTAAGGCATATTAGACTGAGCCATGGAGGTCTCCTTTCAATTTTTGTCGTTTTTATGTGTTAAGGCTGCAGAAGATAAAACACCGAACGCATTTTCAATGTCCCAGTTGTTGTGTGACTGATGAGACGTATTCCATCCATGATACTATTTTTTTGCTCCAGTGAGTGATAAAAAGTGAGGTCGACAAAGCAGTATATTTTCCTCCATATGGACAATCTAATGAGCTTAAAATCATCACAGAAAGCTAAAACTGGTGGCTCAGAAAGTTGCCAACTGACGGGATGAATCAGCCCAGTGTGTGTGTGATTTTGAAGAAGAAGACTCGATCGTTGGGACAATACGTTCATTCGCCTGGCGTTTCGACATTCGTCGCGGATTCATCATCAGAGACATGAGTAGGAAACAGTAGCAGTCAGTGGTTGACTAGCCGACTGAGAATCAGGCTGCGACTAGTTTTTGAGAATGTGGCCTCTATGGCGCTCACAGCCAGTAGAATCGGAGGCGGTGTGATGGAACGCTTTGAGACGGCCCTGGCCGCGCCAATCACCTGCTTCCTATTCCACCGGACCCAGGTGGTGGCGGCGGAAGAGGAGAAAGTATGGTTTATGCAGCCTTTATCTACTACCAATATAAAGTGATTCATGCACAAATACTCGTCCCGGTGTGTTGTACATAGTGGACCTCGTCGGAATCGACTGCCGTCGCTTCAGATTTGTTACTGTAATTTATTAACAACAGTTTAAAGTTTCTACAACATCCTGTCCGAACCCTTATTATCTGTGATATAACTTTGTTGTCAGGGGAGCGAGGTTCTGAACATCTAACAAGATAGTGAATCATAATAGCACCTGTACGACGGACGTTTGCACTTCTATAAATATCGAGTTTACTCATGCTACACGTCACGCGATTGCAGTGTGGTGGTTAACACATGAAATAAAGTGCACTGTTGCATGCATCGTTGGTTGTCGATTATCATGGCTTTGTTGTCATCATCTGTATTTGGCTGCTAACTGAAATTTACGAATTTGCCGCGTATTTGTACTATAACGTACTCTGAGAAAGCAAAAACCGATGCTGTTAAAACAGGGCATTGTTTGAGAAGCAGACGACTTGATCGCTAGGACAATACTTTTATTCGCCTGACGCTTCGAGATCCGACGTGGATTCCTCATCAGAGACATACTCAGAGTAGTAGCAGGTAGAGTAACGTATGCACAAGAGCTTGCAGTATTTATAGAATACAGCCATTACTGCAAAAATACAGCGACAATTAACCGTAATTGCCTCCTTGAGTGTTGGTGGTCTGTTGAACGGCATGCGGGCTCTGACCTACTAACCTTTCATCACGCGTGGTGGACTCGGGCGTGATGATTGATCGGTCATCTGGCACTCCGGTACTGGCGTAGGGTGACGCGGTGGCCTGCTCGTTCCCCAAATTGCAACTTGCTTTGGCCAAATTAAGTCTCTACACCGAATATGGGCTGGGCAAATTTGTTGCACTTGTTTACGGATTGGGGGCCGTGAACAATGATTCAAGTAATTCTCGGCATTGTTTATTTCCATTAAAATTTAAGATAAACACTGTAGTCTAGGATGCTAAGAACACTAATTGATATAGCCTGAAAACGAACTCGGGTCTACTTAATAAGATTTTAGAAAACATTATTCATGCACGAGACTAAGAAAACCGGTTGTAATGCAACGAGGTCACTTCCGTCTTCATTTTATACAGTTACAAAAGAACAGGTAATGCCCATGAGCGATTCTTCTTTGAATGGATTCAAGCGAACGTAGATTGGTGTGCTCAGGAACACTCAGTGCTTCGTTACATTAGCACGGTTAATGTTGCTTGGATAACTTTTACAGATTTTGATGAATGTTACTTGGGAAAAGTCTAGTATGTAACTCCATACATTTTGAGAATAATTTACTTCATCGATTTACGCCCAGAAATTAAATTAAATTTCATTAATTTTTAGTTAAACATTTAACATAAATACCCTCAAATACCTCTAATGCTTTCTCCTGTAAACAAGAGCATGTGAACAGGGAGACTAAAATAGGCTGAGAAAAGGTTTGAGAAAAGGTTCTAGCTGAGGTTACTTCATCGGAATAACTGTTATGAATGTCTCTGTCGAAGAATAGTTTACTACTAGTTCATAGGAATTTATGCCTATGGTACGAAGAAGTTCCATTGCACGTTTATGCATTGCGCGTAAGCTGAAATAAACATATTACTACACTGTCTAGCGGACTTTTCGGATGACACAAAGATGTGAATGACAAAACGGCTGTAGAAAATACGAATTTTATGGAAAAAAGGTTCCTTCTCTATTACTCGCTGGCACACCAGTCTGACGTTTTATATTCACCGTGCATGATCTCAAAAATTAAACCGAACGCGTCCACTGTAGACTGACCCATAGCTGCAGAAGATATAACGAAGTAAATACTTATAAATCAATATCTAGTTGGTAAGATGTTCACTGATGACCACGCAGTTCTCATGTCATGTGCTCCTCCTACCACATGACTGCAGCAGCAATAGCAGCACCAGGTCATTAGAAAGATTGTTGTTTAATTGGTTGCCAGCAACGACCAGAACACACACGTTTCAGTGACTCACACGTGCGCAGTTCTGTATATGCACCATCTGCGTGTTGCCGATTATGTCACTCTCATTCACAGCAGCGGATTTAGCGCGCGTAATTCTCAAAAAGTCTGCGTTCCCTCTGATTGTCTCTGTCTATTTTACCTAGGCGGATACAAGCTTAGAACTTCCATTTTCGACACCGACGCAACTAGCAGCATCAGCATCTTGGATTTGCTTTCCCTTGTAGGTCAGCTTCAGCGTCCATTCAAGTCTCCTTCGAGTGAACCGACCGGAACAAGATAGCAGCGGAATCTATACCTGTATAGTCTTTCACTCTCTTGGCCGTTCACAAGCCTCAATTTGTATACTAATTTCACCAGATCCTGACGAGGACGAAGAAATCGAAGAAATCAGGGAAAAATGTTCTGACGGCTTGGATGATCCTCACCCGATGGACTATCGACCGATCTACCGACCCTCAGTACTCGGTACCTCCAACACAACACAGCGCATGGTCTGGAATACAAAAAATTTCTCCGGTACTCCGAGCCCTTTGTCACCAAACACTACTATTAACGGCTTCCTACCCACATCTACAAGCACTGATAGCGCTAGCGGACCACCCATTAAACCTCGCACTATCTCTGTGGTTAAATCTTCACCTTCTCCTGAACTAAATACCGAACCAGCACCTGTACGCGATCGAGATACTAAACAAGGAGAAGATGAGCAGACGGGAAGAGGTGTACAAAAAACAGACGAGGAAGCTAAGGCTCGGACTGATTCCCCAGTCAAGTCTACCTACTTGTCCTGGTTACCAAAAATGTTCAGGCGGAAAAAGGCAGTCGTAAAAAATTCCAATGAGCAGCTAGCTTCCAAGTAAGTAATGGACACTTTAGCAAGTTGCGGTTATCGCTTTAACTGTTGTCTAGTCATTGTCTATAAATACCTTGTATGTAGCAATTAATCCTGATCCAAACTCCAGTCTGAGTGCTGAGAGGTGTTCATGCGGGCCATTAATGAAATGTAAGAGGACCACATTAGGAGTGTCAACCACTGTTAGCATGGAACCACAACAAGAAAGGAGCGCCGAATAAAGATGGTTGAATATGGATCTCAGAGTTCCCCTGGGTAAGCTTAGATTTGAAGCAGTTGTTCCCTGGTACGAATTTAAAACAAGCGCAAACAACAGGGTTTATTGAATTAACTAAATTTTGCGACGGCTTTTCAAATGCATTCCGTCGTTGCATGAGTCAGATAACAGATAGGAGCATACAGCAGATGCAATTTCACAGAATATCAATATGTAACAGCGAGGGTCATAGTTCAGTGTGAATAATAATTAGCTGAAGGGCACTACATTGAATCAGCCTATATGGGAAAAATTAGGGAGAGGAAGTTGCCAGTCAGCTTTAATCACGACTTGATTTGGGCCAACTTCCCTTCCCCCCTTTTCTCCCTATAGGCTGATTTATCGTAGTGCCCTTCAATTGATCATTATTTAAACCGAACTATGACTCCTGCTGTTATACATTAATATTCTGTGAAATCTAGTCTGTTGTTTGCTTCTTTTCGTTAGCTGACTCGTGAAACGATGGAGTACATTTGAAAAGCCGTCGCGAAATTTAGTAAATGTAATAAACCCTGTTGTCTACGCTTGTTTTAAACTTAGATTTAGGGAAAGTAATGTGCTGCCAACCGAACCTCTGGCTGTCTGAAATGGTAAAAACAACCCCAGCTAATTTCCCGGGCTTGATGGTTTTGTTTTATATTGTTATTTCCATCTGAGAAGTAGACGATTATCGGAGATAAGCCGTGTTGCATATTTCAAATTTGCACTTTTGGATGTAAGGCAAAGCCGCTGAAGTTCAGAGAATTAAGCAGCTGTGGTCCTGTTGCATCAAAGCAGCGGCTGAATTAGTGTATGGAATCCTTTTAGTTGGTTGCGCCTGAGGCCTTGACTACTGGTGCATATGTGTGTGAGGGTTGAGTTGAAGGCACAATCAAGGCCATTTACGGTACCTAGTCTAATCGATGACAAGAATCGAACATGTTCCCGGCGAAAGGCATAGGAAAGAGAGTGAAGTC